AGAGCGTTTGTGGGAAACAGCAAAAGCAGAAGTTATGAAACAAGATTTGAGAATCTATGTCCGCGCTGACAAGTGGGCGTGGCCGTCGGGGCGGGGCTCGCAGTGATGTCTGGCGTGATCTGGTTGATGAGTTGCCCGCCCTAATAAGTGTGGTTAACTTGATGAAAAGTGAGGGTGAATTTGGTTTGAAAAGGGTGAATTTGGTTTGAAAAAGGACGAATTTGGTTTGAAAAAGGGCGAATTTCGGTTTTAAACAAGGCTAGTGAATTTTGAAGTGAAAATCTATATATATAGTTGATCAAAGAATGCTTCCCACTGGTCAATAAACTTATTCGAAAATAATATTTGGAAATTCCAACGAACTTTTGGCGGACAACATATTATAAGTAAAAATGGAGGCTGTCGAGGCTGTCAAAATTCGCAATTTCGTCGACCTGATGCTCCGGTTTGAGCACTTGAATATTGGTGGAAACAGAAACTTTGGAAAAGGTTGTGAGGGCTTTCGTATAGGGGTAAGGGACTCTCTGCAAAATAGTCAAAACTCCGCATCAAAGCCTTTCACCTTCAGCGCGATTTTTCGAGTGAGAAAAAAATCGCAATTATTCATGGGTCAACCCAATACTTAAGTGCGCTGAGCACCATCAAAACACTTCGACGTGTGAAAGCAGCATAACCATCTTACTCTCTACCCAATCACCTTAGTCTTCGTGTCTAGCTGTCATTCACCACAACGTGCATAAATGATACTGCTTTAACGACGTATATGAATCGACCTGATGTTCGTCAAATACTTGGAATTCCATCCAATCTTGGGCCGTGGGCTGTTTGCAGGTAAAATAGTTAACAATACTATTATTATCCATTCTGGATTCAAACTGGACAATCATCTGCGAGGACGGTTCTTTCCATGTGCGAGGTTAATGAGTGCGCAGCTGCAGTAGCGTGCCACTTTCTACGCTTAAATGTGCACGGAAACGAGGGTGGTGATAACCAGAGTAACCTTCTTGTGCTCAGCAGTCTTCAATGTGTTGCACTTGTGTCGATACCAAGTTTCCGCAGATCCCACATCAACACACACCCAGCCATAGAGAACAATCAGAATTGAGAGAGCGCAGCAGAGAAGTAGCGCGTTTGGCTATGCTTAGGCGTGTGACTGCCTGGGCGGCAACGCGTGCGCAGTATCGGAAAGACACTTGGGTGGCACATCAGTACCAGACCACGTCGTAAGTTGGGGAAGCCACAGCGGGAGATCGTATTTTCTCGTTGTCGGGAGAGGGGAGGCTGTCGTATTTGCCTTCAGAGAGGAATGCTGCATTGAGAGAAAATTTTTCTCTACTGTTGACTTTTCCTGATTTTTCCCGTTTCACATGTGCTATATACCCGCTTCTTCCCCCCTCCCCAGCTCCACAGAAGAATCAAAATTTTGGGGGAAAACCAGAAAATCCTTAGGAAATTGGAAAAACTGGAACTGAAAAGCAGTAGGAAGTTGGGAGAATCCAGGAAAAAGGTAGGTAGGATAGGGAAGCGGGTAAGGGATGGGGGAACTTTCACGAGAGGCAGGATGTGCTCTGAGACGAGAACAAAACCCGTCACTACAAACCCGCCTCTGTGCAGTTTTTGCCGGAAAAATGACATACCAGTGCTGCTGCGGACCCGCTAGCCCCATACATGGTAAAGATGCAAAGATCCACGGAGGTGGGGTACTTTTCTCTTTAAGCGATCGAATTCAAGAAACCTATAAAAAACTGTATGGTACAATGACGACCCAAGGGAGAAATATTTTGTATGACAACATCAAAGGTGCGTGTTATCGTTTCATTTTTATTATTGTGTGAATTTATCTGAGTTGGTTAATTGAAATTGTTTTTATTTTTCATTTTAGTGATGTTGTACTATGGTGATGCTGATATGGTATGCAATTTCTTACTGGGACAAAAATTTGCACGTAATCTTGGTTTAAAGGTGATTTAATGAACCGGCTATCTTTCTTCGACAGTTAAAAACATAAGGTACCCGGTCCAAAATGGTGGGGGTGGAGGGGGCTATATGGATTTGGTGTGTTAGAACCCCGAAGAGGCGAAGTGAGACGGTCAAAAACCAGTGAAAAAGCCCCTGCTTTGCACGACATTGGGCGAGTTTCCATCTAAACGAGAGCGATTTCGGACGAGTTTCCACTTAGTGGCGTGCCAACAACCGTTTCTATAAATGTACATGTAGATAAATGACTTGAATAAACTAATGTAGATAATGATAAATGTGCATGTATGTGTGTGTTTAAATATTCATGCAGTACCTCACGTCAGTTATAGCCATAAGAGTGTTAGCACCGATGTGGCTAGGCGGGCTGTTGCGGTGGGCGTGTGGGTCGGCATGTTGCACCTTGTTTAGGCGCTTTGACAGCGCCCTTGGATAGGAGAAGCGCCACGCCGTACCTCAGGGACACAATCTTTCCTCAGCTTAGGCGTATTCTTTCTATAAACCTCGTCGATTTACCTTTTATCTCAACTTTTCCATCCAAACATACATACTGCGATTGAAAGCGGTAAGTGGTGATTTGTCCAAACTTGGTTTACCAGTAAGTAGTAGCTCCAGTTTAGATGAAATACCCCCAGATTCCAAATGCTGCTATAAACAACGCGCTGTCTCATGTGAAGGACCCTTCCAAATATAGTGCACGTGTTAGATCCCCTTTACCACTCGGAAACTCAATACATAAAATAAGTTAGAAAGTAGCGCAGCTAGCTGCGTTCATACTTCGCGGCAGCGTCCTCCAGGACGCGTCAGCTTTTCGCGCGCGTCCGTCAGCGAAGGTATAGATATCGATCCATCGTGTGGCAGCGCCTTCCAGCATCTACCAGCGTCCATCAGCGTCCGCCAGCGACCATCACTGTTTCGAGGGACTAGGCAATAATGGAAGCCGACCTAGCGTCCACCAGCGACCAGGAGTACGGTGTTGTGTAGTAGTACGGTGCGGTTGCACACGCCACAATTTCACGACGCCTAATCCAGCTGTCTCCTCCCTCCTGGTTTCATACTCTCTACTCCTGGCCACTGGTAAACGCTGGTAGACGCTAGATCAATATCTATACTTTCCTAGTCCCTCGAGATGCTGATGGTCGCTGACGGAGGCTGCTGTTCGCTAGATCGATCTGTACCTTCATAGTCGCTTACGCTGACGGACGCTCGAGACGCTGGTGGTCGTTAGTGGACGCTACTGCAAAGTATGAACGCGGTCTCAGGGGCATTCGAGTTTCAATTTCGAATTCTCGAACGGGTCCATCGTATCCCAGCTCTGTTGAAGCCTCGAATAACACTCTAGAGTAACTAGTCCTCAAAAGGTACGAAAACTTCCAGGATTCCTCATTGGAACAATTTGTGCAAAGAGTCGTAAGGCGACTTGTTCAACCTTATACATTGGTAAGGTTGAAGTTTACCATCGACTAGCCCTTTTCTGAGACCCGCCACCCACTTGACCTCCACAACTGCACTGGCATTTTGGATGCGATTCTGCATGCCAGTGAGCGCAACCGGTCCTAGCGGATGGAAGGCCAGCATGGGTGAAAGTTTATCCGTCCTGTTACTGTGGTAAGCAGCGCCAAATTCCATTACACAACCTCCGTTTTTAGCTTCCACCTGTTTAATAGTTCGAAAAATTAAGGTTGTTGCTCCCAAGAAGCCATTTTATGTTAATGGACAACTCGGAGGGTTCCATACAAACTATGGCAATCTTCATTACGTAGTAGTCAAGGTGCGAACTACTGGATCTTCAAAATATCTGTACTATTTACCCTTCACTCTCCCGTTTTTTATTTTGAAAATCATGCTAGAATTTGACCGCTGTTTTTACGTTTCACACCGAATTTGGTTCGCTATTCCTCTCCAGGGTATTTTAACAGCCTCAGTGCGAATATCACATCCGCCTGAAGAAAAAATGTCCGGCGCGAGCGATAGGCGCCCGTGTCCCAACGGTTTCGTGGCACCTATGACGCGGGCGCCAAGCGGTTTCTTGCTAAGCGAGTATGATATTCGTGTTCAGGGAGTAAAACAGCTTTCGAGAACTACTTATTAGAGAACGACTTTTTCAGAGCCAAATTCGAAAACCGGGGCAGTAGAGTGTAACTAGTGGCAAACATTTTTGTGGAAGATTTTTTTCTCATTTTCAGGGCGCCGGTCATATGGTCCCAACAGACAAGCCAGCCGTTGCTTACCACATTCTCGATTCGTTCATGTTCGACAAGGAA